GTGTGTGTGTGTGTGGCCAGCTCAGCCCACCAGGGGGCGGGGCTGGCTGGCATGTGGTGCTGGGGGATTGAACCACGGTCCCAGTGCTTTGCTAAAGCTTGTTCTAAGTAGGTGCTTTAGACCACTGAGCCATCTCACCAGCCCGAACAAAGGTATTTTGAGTCATCATCTGAATCTGCTTTTGTAAATTATCAAAAACAACCCTGTATTAGTAGTATGGAAGTTTCTAGGTGTAGAGTTAAGTGCTAGTTAACCATCTTAAATATGACAAAATTAATTCATGCCAGTATTGGTTTTTTGGCCATATGGGAAATTCAACTCCTTCCTCCCACTGATTTCCCAGATGACCTTGTCCTCAAATCACTGTTCTTTTAAGGTGAAATGACTTTAATTGTCTAAAACTTTCTTCTTTCTCTAAATTCTCACACTTGTCAATAATGGTGACCATCAGTCTTTTATTTAAAAATTAAAACCTGTCATTATATCTGTCATACTCCCTAAATTTCAAATAAAACTCTGCCCATAACTATTCTAATAAGTTTTTAGTTTGTTGGTACAATGTAACATCTTTAAATATATCATTTCATACAGGATATTATGTAGCCACTAAGGATTATGTTAAGGTCAGGTGCTACAGAGGTACATGTCTATAATCTTACTTACTGCAGGATCAAAAGTTCAAGGCCAACAACTTAGGGTAACACCCTATTGGGAAAGGGAAAGAGAAGAGGAAGAAAGGGAGGAAGGTAGATTAAACTGCAGAATACTTACTAGATCCTGAACATCTTTCAGCAGCATAGTGAAAAAAGGAAATGCCACAATCAAGCAGAACATATTTCTACCCATGTGAGCATACTCATGTGGCTGAGTTTAGACAAAAATATTAACCACTGATTCCATCTCTGACTTCCTAAATTATAGGTGATTTTTTTCTTCTTCCTCTTTTTTTTTGTGGAACTGGGGATTGAACTCAGGCCCTCGCACTTGCCAGGGAAGCTCTTATTCCACTGAGCCATCCCCCCGGTCCCTGATTTTTTCTTTTTGCTCTAATTATCAAAATATATGTTCCCTACAGAAAAGTTAACTTTTATTTTTAAAAAAAACTTTTCATTCTGAGGGCCAGCCAAATAGCTCAGTGGATTAAAGCGCCTGCAAGCAGGCACAGGGGCCGGGTGTTCTATATCCCCAGGCCTGCTGTGCCAGCCCCAGGGGGCACACTGAGACAGCAATTGAGACTGGGGGAGGCAGTGCTCACCTGTAATCCCAGGTCTTGATAGGCTGTAAACAGGCAGATCATTACAAGTCTGACCTAGTAGTGAGACCCTGAACACCGTAGACCCTTCCCTAAAATACAAAATAAATAAATAGATAGATAGTAAAAAATTTTCCTTCTGTCCAGGCAATAACTAATAGAAGAAAAAGGACAGCAAAAACTTGTGTCATAGAAAACCTTTTTTTTGGGGGAGGTGGCAGGGGGTGGGGGGGTAGGCACCCTGATAGCTCAGTGGACTAAAGTGCCTGCAGCCCCCCCAGCCTGCCTTGGCAACCCCACTCCCGGGGCACACTGAGATGGCGACTGAGGCTGGGTGTGGTGGCACAAGCCTGTAATCCCAGTACTTGGGAGGCTGAAACAGGAGAATCACTACGAGTCTGATCTATGTAGTGACACCCTGTAGATGATATCCTAAATATAGGGGGGAAAAAAAACTTTTAAAAACTGTCCTACACTTAACAGCATCTTTCTAGACAGGTTCTAGATTTGAATACCTAAAATTTCCCTATCATTAAATTCCTAATTATTTTATTTTAAAAACAAATCATCATTCCACCAACTCACATTTTACAAAATAATAACTGGACCAAGACTTCACAAAGTTACTTGCTAACTTTAAGATTATCAAATGTTAATTATTTCTCACCACAGCTTATCCCTAACATTTCCTAATTTTAATTAATTTTCTATGATCTAGTAATAAAATACCACATTTTCCATTATTATAAATGAAGACAAATTGACAGTATAGTTCCAAAGAACATCAAACTTGGTAATATAACACTTATGGAAAGAAACCTAGTGGTGGTATATATCTGGCAAAAACCATATACCCTGTAACAGAAAGGTGAATCTGAATATAACACACAATCCTCTCCATCTTCACCCTTCCATTCATTGTAGGGAGCTATTTTTCAAAAACTCAGCCCACTGATAACACATTATAGTTGCAGAAAATGGACAATGAGTCAAAGAATCTGACAGATGCTTTCAGAGAACTTTCTGGAATGTGATTCCATTTTAACCTACAAAACTGTTTATCTTTTAAAGGTCAACCCAAGAAATAAGCATTTAATACCAAGTTATTCAAATTGTAAGCTGTGGAGCCTAAAATGAGTGAACCCTAGAAATTCAACCAGCCCTCCTCCTCCTCACCCTTTAGAAGCTTTGAAATTTCTACTTTTTCCAGTTGACAAAATGTTTTTTTTTAAGTTAAAATAGGTTACCACACATATTCATGTTCTCATTTTCCTTACTAATTCAAGTGCACCCTGCTGCTATTCAGAAACACTCCAAACAGAGGCTCTTACATTCTGATTACACATTCAAATAAATGCATAACATGCATTTCAACTTGGAATCACTTTCTTAAGAAATTAACTCATGAAAACCAAGTTACTGCAACATCATGGTTGAAATCATGCCAAAGGGGCTGGTGAGATGGCTCAGTGGTCTAAAGCACCTACTTAGAACAAGCTTAGCAAAGCACAGGGACCATGGTTCAATCCCCCAGCACCACATGCCAGCCAGCCCCGCCCCCTGGTGGGCTGAGCTGCCCCCCCACACACACAAAAGAAATCATGCCAAAGCCCAAATTTTAATACCTAACTTCCTCAACTACACTATGTAAATATATTATGGCAACAATATTACCCACTGTTATTGTAAGTATTACTGTCCTAGGTTTTTGTTTTGTGTTTTTTTTTTACTTAGCAAGATACACTTAAAATTAAAAACAAAACAGGAATAATTTCAAAATGACAGGAAACATTAGAATTTAATAACTTCACTCTTCTTTCCTCACTTCCAAGTTGGCTACACCAAATCTCAAATCTGCAAAACAGCATATGTTCTCATAGGGGTCGTGATGCAGCATCCTTAACACATCCCAAATCAAAGAAAATATAGCTTCCACCCTAACTTACAGTTTAAGTCAGACAACTTTAAGACACAAAACTCATAGATGACAACCAGTTAATGGTTTTCCAGAATTTATATTTTGATCTTCCTCAAGTTAAATGAAAAGCAAAAGAAACTGAATTAAATATAAGACTAGAAGTATGGAGATCAATAATAAACAATTTCTAAATTAATCAGAATCCTCAGGAATATATGAAAGATAAGGTTAGAAGTATAACAGGCCAAGCCATAAAGGATCATCACATGAAAAGACACAACACACACACACACACACACACTGAAAACCTAGATAAAAATTCTACCCAGACAGCAAGTAGAAAAAGGAGGGAACAAGCCAGAATTTAAAGCAAAAATACAAGAAAAATTAGCTGATCTGTTACTAGACTTAATGAAGAAAGTTATTACACTAATATGAAGAATTAACAATCTTTTTCAAACTGTTACATATTTTCCTATTGCACTTCCAGAGAATCAATAACATTTTAAAACTAAAACTCAACATTTCAAAATAGAAACATCTGTGATTTTTCTTCTGTGAAAAATTAAAGGGCTCATATGTAAGATCAAGCTCATGATCTTAACCTGATTAAAACCACATGAACCAGTCTAAACAAACTAAAAGTCTCTACACACACCAACACAAAGCTCCCTATAGCTGTTTTAAGTCTTCATATTATAAATTCAGCAAATCCAGCTTCCACTCTGCCTCGTCTACCTCGAACCCCTCCCTTGAAGCACACACTGACAGATGCTTTGTCCTTATCACATCTGCCTAATGTTAACATCTGCTTTCCAGGCTGCCACTATATTAGATGAGGGCACAGCAGTCTAGAGCTACCAACAGCCTCACTGGGCAGGAGGCCAGTTCTCAACTCCTTCAATCTGACTCTAATAATTTGCTAGGAGAAACATTACACCTCAAGAGCCTGACAGTTTGAGCTCAATATCCCTTTAGCCAAAAATTATTTTAAAACCATAATGCCAAGATTTCACAATGAAAAAACATACCTTAAACACACTATACACACACACACCTTCAACATCTAAGTAATTTAAGGTGCACCGAGGTTGATGGTATTTGCTCAATCTCACTACATAATTGCTAATATAAAAAAGTTTTACTTTTTTACTAAAAAGTTTTGGTCATCCCTTTTTTTTTTTTTTT